TTACCAAATGGTCGGAGCACAAAAAAAACGAAAAGTGGCCGAAAATAACACACAATGAGCACAATAATACGAACAAGTTTTTTCTTCATTTTTTCATTTTAGCGCCGCTAACTTGATTGAGCTTCACCCACCGGCTATTTGAAGTGAGTGTAAAGGGGAAATATGAGCGACAAACGGCTGTTGACTTGGACACGAATGACAGCTGGGGATACGCGTGCATGAATGAATAAAAAATTTAATATTTCCGCTATATAAAACAACAAATACATGTGTACATTTCCAGTTACATAGGTGCAAATGCTTGCTTGCATGCTACTTTATATGTATGTATGTGTAAAACTGCATTCATGGCATTTTATTTACATATACGCGCATTCACTTTGATGGAATCGGATAATAAATGGAAGCGCTTTCATTCACCTCACTCAGATTGCGAGTTAGTTGTTGTTGTGTTGTCGCTGTAATTGTTGGTGGTGTTGTTGGTGTTGGCGGTATTGCTGGCAAGCAACTATTCGTGGCCTGCAAAATCCATCAACTGACATTGGATAAACTTCCGTGCGCAACAACTGACATTCACATTGACGCCGGGACATGGCTCGTGGCTGCATTTTAAAATGGAAGTAATTAAAAGTGGTAAAAGTATTTGAAGGGCGAACACTGAAGTTTAACTGAATGCAATAAAATATTTTTAAATTTAAAACGAAGCGAATTTCATCGGCGTTGTGCTGTGCTGGGATTTATTGGGCATAAAGTTTTGCGCTTGCCGTTTTTTTTTTTTTCATTTTGAGCTGCAAAGTAAGTGTTGGTGTTGTAAAAATGAGGTCAGACCTTTTCTTAAAGGTGTAATAAACCGATAAGCCTTTGATTGTCCGTCAGTTAAAGTGAAGTAAAGTATTCACCAGATTTTGAGAGTGAGTACTACACTTAAATATCAGAGAACGAAGTGAGTATGAATTTTGTTATAGAAAGCTAAAAATTAAGTTTACTTTTGACTTTTGCTAATTTGAGTAAAGAAATGCTTATTATTTCTTCGATTTTTTTTTTTTGAAGACAAAAATGTAATTCAAAGTTTTTCTGACATTTTCTGAGCACAATATGAACGGTAAATTTACTTTTGTCTTTATTTAAGGCATTCATAAAATGCGAAATTAAGATTTAAATGTACACTTGCCAAAACATACCCCGAAAAGGGAAAATCCTTAAAATTTCAAAAATAAATATCTCAAAATTTCCGAAACGTACCGATAAAATAAAACAATGTATCGCGAAAAGGAAAAAAATTTGCAGGCTACCGAAAAAAATCCCAAAGTTTCAAAAATCCCGAAAAAAAAAATACGAGAAGTCCCCGAAAAACCCCCATAAAATTCTTTAAAAATCCTAAAATTTAAGACCTAAATTAAAATCACTCAAAGCTCCGAAAAATTACGAAAAAAATAAAATTCCCGAAAAGTCCCTAGAGGTGCCGAGAGGTGCCAAAAAGTTCGGACAGAGAAAATCGTAAGAATTCCAGAAATAAATCTTACAAAGTTTCGAAAAAAGTCCATAAAAACCTGACATCCCAAAAGGTCCCAATAAATTAAAACGGTGTATCGCGAAAAGGAAACAATCAGCAGACTAGGGAAAAAATCGCAAAGTTCATCAGAAGTCCGGAAAAAACACCAAAAATTTTGGAAAGATCCTAAAAAATCGACATAAAAATCTGCCAAGACTCGAAAAATTAAGAAAAAATCATAAAAAGTCCCTGAAAAATTGGAAATATTTTAGAAAACTTTCGATAAACCCCGAAAGGTCCCGAGAGGTCTTAAAAAATTAAAGCGAAAAGTATAGAAAAATATTCAAATAGGTTGCAAATAAATTCCAAATTTTCTCGTTAAATCTTGAAAAGCTGGTGTTTCCGATAGGACAGCAGTATGATGTATTGTGGAAAAGTTTTCTGTCACTCCTGGCTTCGGCATTGTGCCATCTTCAGTGTGATGTTTCGATGAAACCGGTTTGTCTCCAAATCAAATTTGACAAGGAATGACGAAAAATCGTTCCACAATACATCATTTCATTTTATTATCAATGCGTGGAAAATGTTTGAGGAAAAAATCAGTTATCCCCCTGCGTGGGCATAGGTTTTTCAAGCTTTGTATACATTTAGTGCCCACCATCGATCTGGATACATAATATAAAGCTTCTTTACATTTTATATACGCTTTTTCCTTATCGATGTTTTGTCTTTTCCACTTTTATAGGACCAAGTTTTTGGGGCCTTATCAATCCACAATGGAATATGTGCAATAAAGGGCGACGCCAATCCCCCATAGACGTAGTGCCCGACAAATTACTCTTCGATCCGTACCTGCGGCCGTTACACATCGACAAGCACAAGGTAAGAGCTACATATGTATGTACTATGTGGGAACTAAATTTTTTTAGCAGTAATAGATTTTAGTTGGGTACATGTACTCTTTTAATGAATGGTAATAATAAATACAGTGGATCGCTACAAAAAAGTTTCTTTCTTCCAAAAAGGGAACCCACATAAACGGTTGTACACTTTAAATAAAATTACTGTGATCTATGTAGAAGCACTACAGAAACGACTGGCGTGCTTTGTCGAACTTGGCCAAAAACGGTTAATCGTATAAATGTTATATAAAAAATTTCGACAATTTTTTTTTTTTATTTTTAGAAAAATTTTAGTTCTTTTTAACCGACTTCACAAAAAGGAGAAGGTTATCAATTCGTCGGAATATTTCTTTATTTTTTTATTTTATTTATTTTTTTATGTACATATGTTACCGCATAACTATGATTATCTTAAATTTTTATATGGGAATTGAAGTCGGTTTTGTTTTTTGCTTAAAAATTTCATGTTTAATATTTCTTTTTAATGCGTAAAGTGTGCGCAAAGAAATGTCAACAAAAAATTTTTTTAAACTGAGCACTTGAAACTTGACTTTACTATACTAAATTTTTCTGAAAATTCACAAAAAAAAATAAATAATACAGAAAATGTTGCTGGTTCATTTTTAGAACTTCGATATACAACGTCGAAACGATATCAGAAATGTTAACTAACTTTTAGAAGTCTTTTGGTACTTTATGCATATGCTGACCACCCTTAATACGAAAGACACCTATATATAAGAATCGAGAGTTGCACCTTTTCCTGCATAAATTCCCCCGAACAGCTAAACTTTCTCACCGACTAGAAGAACTTTCACTATTTCACGTTGAGATTTTTCTACTCTCCTTAGTGGGATGCCTCGAAGTAGCTTCTTTACTTTCCAAATAGGAAGAATGTTACGCCTTTCCATATGACCTCTAAGATTCTTGACATATGGCCAACCATGTCGTTCCCTACAATACCACAAAACTCCGAGGCAACCTTGAACAGTTACCGCGATTACAGGTTGTTCTCAGTATGTCCGAAACTTCGTCATGAATATACTTAAAGCTCAGTTATGCTATCTTGAGTTATAAATGCTACGAAGGTCAAGTCATGTAAAGCTAAGTACGCATAGCTTAGCGTTTACTCATAGATCTCTTGTGGGCTAACATTCGCTGCATTATTACCTACAGAGGAGCGTTGAAATTCAGGCTACCTGAAATCATATTTCCGCGCTAGTTCTCATAGATATCTCATTAAATTAATAAACTTTTTTCTTTTTACAAATTAAAAAAGAATCAATCCTATATGTGACTAATAAGCAATTTCCTATTCCAGCAAGTTAAAAATTTTTTGAGTACATTTGTTCTTTAAAAATCAACTTAAATTCGCACATTCTACACAACCGAAAAGAGGAAAAAGACGACAATCAGTAGCTCAAAGCCATTTGTTTTCTCTTTTCTTTTCAATTTTCGTCGCATCGTTTGCTGTCTGTTTGCACGCTCGATTGGCTGATTGTTTGAATGCTTAACTTTGTTGGCTGGTTGACTGGATGACTGCTTGTTTGGCAAACTGCTGTCTCTTTTACTAACTGACTGACTGACTGGCTGTGTTCTTGGTTCGCTTGCTGTTTGCTGTTCACTGTTGGCTGTTCACTGTTGGCTGTTATCGCCCAGGTTTCCGGTACACTACACAACACAGGTCAATCGCTCGTCTTCCGCGTCGACAAGGACACAAAGCAACCGGTTAACATCACCGGTGGCCCACTCGCCTATCGCTATCAATTCGAAGAGATTTACATACACTATGGCACAGAGAACAGTCGGGGGTCAGAGCACTATATACAGGGTTACAGTTTCCCCGGTGAGGTAAGTGTGCGCCCCTATACTCGCATGGACATACATATGTATGTATGTAAATAAGACAACAGCAAATTGTTGGTTTAACAGACATTTTTCACTTTTGCGCTAATCCACACTCGTCGTTCTTTCACTTCATTCATTCTTTTCAACTGTCATTCACAGATACAAATTTACGGCTTCAACAAGGAACTCTACCACAACATGTCCGAGGCGCAACACAAATCGCAGGGTATTGTGGGCCTCTCGCTGATGGTGCAAATTGGGGAGACACCAAATCCCGAACTACGAATTATTACCACCACATTTAATAAGGTTTTGTATAGAGGTAAGTTTACTCTAAAAATTCACACTCAACTAGTGTGTGGGTTGGGGCAGGATTTGTCGATTGGATCAAATGTCAACGACTTGCGCTTCAAATGCGGCTGAATGCCAGTGTTGCCAGAAAAAATTTGTTAAAAACCATAAAAAGGTTACTGAAACTATAAACACAATCTTTTTTCTCTAGAAATATCTTCATTTATAACAAAAACTCTCTTCTTATTTGCGCATTCATCTTTTCTATATGATGATGTTTCTATAAAGTTAATTACAGAAAATTTAATTAAATTAAATAATCCATACTTTTTATTTTGTGGAAATTTATAAAGCCGAGTGTGACCTTCATAAAGCCAAGTTTGAGCCCGAATTTTGATAGACAAAATCAATTCAAAAACATACTCGTAAAAATCTGTAATCTACCTGCCGTGTAAGTTAAATTGATGACAAAAACGAAAAGTTTGTTGCCAACCATAAAAAAAAAAATCTTCAAGCGCTGGCAGATATCTTAACTGTGAAAATTTTTTGTATGGAGTTTTATTTTGTTGTAATTATATTAATTTGAAGATTTTTCTGATTATTTATGAAAAATATCTTTATTTTGAAGATAATTCTTCACTTCTGGCAACACTGCTAAATGGGCGTGTGGATGTGTGTGTGTGCGCGCGTGCCGAAAAGAGAAATTAACAAGGCATGCAAGTTATTTCCGGTCAACAAAGTGCAAAGGCTCGCTTCAAATACGAGTGAGTGCAAGCATTTGCCTGCAACGCGAGAAGACTGCAAATATAGAGAGATGAGTGTGTGGCATGGCTTGATGGAGGAGTTGAGCATTAAACACACGCCGGCCCAGCTGGTGCCAGTGGTGGCTTTTCCTGCGCTAGGTGCAAAAAGTCAGAAAAAATTGTGTACTACTTAGGTGAGTTTTTTCCGGCACGAACAATAATAATTATGCGCCGAAGACTTGGCTCAATGTTAGCGACCTGAAAGCAGAAATCAAAAATAGAAAGCGAAAAGTTCGAAAGAAACCTACAATTCTTACCGTTTGCATTTTCATGGTTCAAAATATGCAGCACACACACCCACCACACAGCACATGCGGAAGAAGCCACTGTATGTAGATTTGTTACCAACATTTATCGTCCACAATTACTTTCAGCGCTGCTGAGGCGAACGGCAAACGAAAAAAAAATACACAACAAAAAAAAACAATAACAATGCCGGCTTAACGCTTAATGATGGCCACCATTTGATGGCGCAAAATTATGCGCCGCCAAATGCAATAAAAACGCCGGTTCATAATATAATAACATGGCAGCGGCGGCACACTTACAGTGTTGCCACATTGCCTTCCGCTGGCACTTTTGCTGCACAAATCACACGCCAGTCAGCTGTGGCCAAACACTTGGCGGATCGTGTCATTTGTAGCGCCAACGTTCTCGTCATTTCGCCGCACTAGAAGAAACTAACTGGCAGGCATGCCAGTGTTGTTGTGTTTGCTTTTGGGCTTTGCTTGCCAAAGCTTGTGGGATTTTAGTGGCTGAGCAATATCTGGAAATAAGAGCACATATACACATTAGGCTGACTGAAATAATAATAATAATAATATATTTTGGCGATGCGATAAAAATTAATAAAATCGAAAATTTAACAAAATATGATATATTAATAAAAAGTTATTTTTGAGTACATAATAATTTGAAAATTTTCTGGAAAAACCTCATAACTAAAGAAATTAAAAATTTAGGTAAACGGCTTAATTTAATTATTCAATTCACGTTTTCGAGGGGTTTTGCTGTGCTGTAAAAATATTCATTGCCGATCTAGACGGGGGTTTTCTGAACTAAAAAATCAGTAACTGGTTTTTCTTCAAATAATTTTGTTCGAATAACTCGAAAAACGGTTTTAGAAAAAAGTCGAATAATCGCGCATCCTAATATTCACCGATCCTACTTAATATAAATAAAGAAGCTTGAAATTATACTAAAAATATTTAAAGGTTATGTAAGTAGCAAAAAATATATCGCCGTATTCATAAACTTCAAAGTTAGTTAGAAAGAATTAGTTTTCAAATAATTCAAAAAAGTTTTCTGAAAAAAAAATACTTATTCGTAACGAATAAATGTACGGCGAATATTGGGAAAGTTTGAATATATCGATAACCTGATGTCAGATTCAACTTCAGCGCGCCAAAAACCGATGGAAAGTTTAGTCAAGCCTCAGATTTCGAAAAATGTAGGCATTTGTGATTTCACAAATATTATCCTTAAATTAATTCGTGGCCAAAACTTTATTGTTTCTAGCTAAGCAAAGCGGATAGAGTAAAATTAGACAAATTTTCTCTTTATGAAGTACTTTTAACAAATTTGTATACGTTATAGGGTGGCAGCCATTTTTGACACTTACCTGAAAATTTGTTTTATGGGGACCGACCCAATCTAATGTACATATATGCACTTTTTTCTCATGAAATTTTTCTTAAAAGTAAGCATAATCTTAAATTTCAATTCTTCCATAACTGGAATATTTTATATGATTATTTTTTTCATTTTTATTTTTCCGATCAAAGTTATATAGTTAAATTTGTACTTTGTTCGGTCAAATTTAATCGTTAATTTTGGATTTTAAGATGGGGATTGCGTATTTATGACCGATTTAAACGATAAAAAAATTTATCGAAAAAATAAATCATAGCATGACGATTAAATTTGATCAGTAAAATATAAATCCGTATTTACGGTTAAATTAAGATTATTTATTATAAAGATTATATCCGTTACCAATCCTGGTTATATTCTTTAGTTAACGTTGGCTTGTAAGACCGCGTTGTAGGTTTAGCTTACCAATTCATTTGCGAACTTTCATCTTTGGTAAATTTTAATTTCATTTGGTAGGCATTCTAGTGAGGTAAACAATTTTCCGAGTGGCCACGCCGATACAGGCGCCACTCGGCAGCGCAGTAGGATGCACAGTAGAGGCCGCTAAGTTGTTGTACGCTGTTGCAGGAAGCAATGCAAACAGTAAAAGTGGCAGTTAAATTTTGCCATTAAAACCTTCTTTGACACGTCGTCACGCCAAGCCCTAGCAGCCGATGCCTGCTGCATTGACCACTAGCTTGCCGAGGGCGAGAAAGTAACAGCAAAAATTGAGCTGTAGAAAAGTTAGTGCTTGAAGATTTTATGAAAAAAAAAATCATAAAGTAAATAAAAGAAAAAATAAAATAAAAAAGTTCGTTGGAGAAAATCAAATTCAGAATATCTTTGCAAAGAAAACGAATAACAAGAAGAGGACAAAAATAGAACGAAAGAAATGGAATTATTCCTCAATTTTCCGCCACCTTTGCTATAAATGACGCCAACAAAAGTTTTTACTTTGGTTGCTTGAATTAGTAGGTGCATTACCTTTTGCGAACTTAAAATAGAAAAAATAAAGAGTAAAATAAATATATAAGTTGTGGCATATCCACTTCAGGCAACAGTTAAAAAGTGAAATTACGAAAATAGCGAGAACTTATTTGATACTTTTTATTTCGCCAATCGCCTTTTATGAAGACACTCTGCTTATTTAGCTAAGCTAACCAAAGCGTCCTTGACACTCACGCCTTCCAGGAGAAGGCAGTCAAATTTGGTTACAAGGTGGAATGTCTATATGTTCCGGCATTGTGGGATTTTAACACGAACTAAACCACCGGCTGCCATGTACATACTTTCCTCCGCTACTACCGCTAAGTTTTTCGTCGGAGGCTGCTTGAGTACGAAGCTCATACGTACGTTACTTTTCTAGTGTAAACATTTTGTTAGTTATTTCAAGATAATGGTTTAACTTACCAAGATATCTCAGTTTGATCATGTAGTCGTTTTTTACGCTGTTAGCCATAGGCATTAAATTTCTGTATGGAACAAGAGATATATGTATTGCACTGGCTACTTTATACAAAATAATGCACACTTTTAGGCGCACTATTTGCGCATTAGTCAGCAACGCGAATGCCCAATGGGATTTGCTTTAAAGGAAGGCAATAATAATTAACAATATTCATTTAATAAACATGTTTATGTAAATTTTTTTGCTTGCACTTAAAAAATCTTTACGGTTTTCCTCTTTGATAGGCTTTTCCACGCCCATTCGGCACATATCAGTGCGTTCACTGTTGCCAAATACAGATAATTACATTACCTACGAGGGATCCACAACGCATCCCGGCTGCTGGGAGAGCACCGTATGGATTATTATAAATAAGCCCATCTATATCACAAAACAAGAGGTGAGTATTACTATTAAATTACATTGGAAATTGGCCGTATTCTGCTTGTAATTACTTAATTGAATTGTTTAAACCATAATCAGTTGGTAGGATTATGCCAAAACCAAATAATGCCAACAAAAAACGAAAAACCTATAACTCGTATGGAAGCTAAAAATAAAAATAAAAACATTATATTTGCATAGAAAAAACAGCTTTATGGGCATGATTATTGCCTAATTGAACTCAATTAAGCGCACCAGCAAATTTGTTTATTCTGTGG